ATATGCAACAATACTCAATGCAAATGAATGAGAAATTGGTTTTAATTTACCTAATCCTCGTGCAATTTCTACAACAATCAAAACTATCCCACACCGATAGCCCAAGACAAATATTTCTAATCAATAGAAAATTGCAATAACGGTAAGCATTTTCATCATTTTCAAAATGTGAGCGATATTACATATCCAACTCCATTATCATCATCAATATCCACATTCTTTCCAATCTTACAAAAACCAACATCACCTTTCAATGTTTTCCAACACAAGTTGAAACTCATAGTTTTTGAACAAAACCTCATTTTCTTTCAAAATCACTTTTGAGTGAAGAAGCCCATTATTTCAACATATAACAACCATCATCACATCCCCACAACCTTTTCCACGGTTCTATTTGAAAACCCCTCTTTTGATTTCAAACCAAAACTCTAGATTTTTGTTCAAAAAATCCCCAAATCACAATATTGTTTTAAAAATAGCATATAACTAAGTTAAAAATCATTAAAAAAAATGCGAAGAATCCCTACCTCAAGCTTAGAAGGGTGGAAAAGAAGAACTCGGAAAAACTCAACATTGGTGAGACCACAAACCTCTTGGATCAAAAGAAAGCCCTTGAGACGATCTACAATCTATTTCAAAGGGCCAAGATGAGAAGGTACCTCTAGGTGAGTAGATCTGAAGATCTAAGTGAGAAAAATTGAGTTTTGAGAGAAAGAGAGAGAAGTCACAGGTAGAGTGGGAAAAAGAGAAGTAACTCATGAGAGAAAAGTGCTTGTGGGTCTATTTATAGTGACTAGGTTATAATAGAATGATAGTTCCAAAGTCAAATGAAAAGAACAAGTCAAAAATTCCCAAAAAAGTAGGGCCTAAGCCGAACAAAATGTAGAAATGGCTCACAAGGGTCGACCTTCGAGACAGTGGTGTCGACCCTCAAGAAGAAAAAGCTTAGACACAAATGTTGGCTGCAAACAAGGGTCGACCCTAGGAACCCGTCGTGTCAACCCTATATTTCAGTAGCGATTTCCAAGATTGAGCAGTAGGATAGTGTCGACACCACCCAGACTAGTGTCAACCCAAGAGGCCAACAACAAGACAAGTGTCGACGCCACCAAGACTGTTGTCGACCCCAAATTTCAGTAGCCCCACCAAGAACACAACATCAAGGCAGTGTTGACACCACCAAGACAGGTGTCGACCCTAGGAGTAGAACAAAACAAGGAAAGGAAGGCAATGTCAACACCACCAAGACTGGTGTCAACCGTTGAAGCCAAAACCAAACATGAAAAGAGAGAAAAACAACTCCGGGATTCAAAAGCAATAAATGGGTCGGGTTTAAGCCCGGATCACTGTACTAACCGAGTAAACCCATGACCTAACTTCGCTAATAATTATTGTCGCACCACTTCTCACACCTCAGAGTGCAACTTATCCATTCTCTCGTGTAACATGGTTACATAGGGAGTGTCATCGATTACATCATAATTGAAGTCTTTTATTCCATTATCATCTCGTCCATCCTCAATGATCATATTATGTAATATTATGCATGTTAGGATATTTTCATAAAAATAAATTATTTGTTGTTACAAATTTAATATGATTTAAATATTACAGTTACAATATTTATGTCCAATAATTTTATAAAGATAAATGTAATTTATTACAATGGTTACAAGCTTTATATCAAAATCAATATTGTATTTATATCCAGTTGTTTTTATTAATTGGCGCATCTATATATATATACATTCTTATGATTTTAAATGAGAGATATAGAGAGAAGGATTTTTGTATACAAGAAGAAATAGAAAAGATGGTTTAAGAGATAGAAGATTTTATAAGAGTTATAGGTTGTTGGCTTTTAGGTTTTTTTAGTGATTTTTTGACTTTTTGGCTAAAAAAGTCACTTGCCAAACGAGGCTTTTATATTGTATTTTGGGCAACTCTGGTTCGTGGCTTGGTTCAAGCCTCCTAGTGGTAGTGAACACTTGGGTTTTATCTTGGAATTGCTTCACTCCGGTTGTATCTTCAGCAATTTTAGGACAGTGACAACGCAACTCCCATAGCCTCACAGCTATGTTTTCCTACTCTTGTTGTTTAGTTATATATATTATTATTTATTGTCATCGATATTATAATATTCATGCTAATTACTCTATTTATTATTTTTCTAGACTAACAATGCATGCGTTCATAATATATTTTAGCATTTTAGAATTCCAAAAACATGTCGGTCTACACACAATTGCAAGTCATGCTCGAAGCACTCCAAATGCACGCTCTACATCCTTTCTTGTTGACTCTTGGGCTATAACAAATAATTTTTTCTTATTTCCTTGCAAAGAAGGAATTGTTTTCACAAATGTTGACCATTGTAGATATATACCATCGGCAAGATAGTATCCCATGTATTCACCCAAAAAAGAGATAGTATCGCATTGTATATTCATTACCATTGATGGTGTAATTAACTAGAGAAGCACGTCCCTGAGCAAGTTCGCTAAATACAAAAGACCTTTCTAGCACATTGATATCATTATGAGACCTAGGTAATCCAAAAAAAGCATGCCAAATCCAAAGATCATACGATGCAACAGCTTCCAAAATAATTGTTGTTTATGGATGTGACCAATATACATACCTTTCAATGCAGTCGAACAATTTTTCCATTTCCAGTGCATACAATCAATACTCCCCAGCATTTCAGGAAATCCACGACTTTCACCAACCGCTAGCAATTTAGCAATGTCATTGCGGTTTGGTGACCTCAAATATTCATCAGAAAAAATATCAACCATTGCTTTAACAAAAAAATTTATAATATCTATTGTAGTGCTTTCTCCAATCCTCACATATTTGTCCACAAAATCAACGACTACTCCATAAGCAAGATAAACCAAGCTTTCCAACACAATTTCTTTTTTGGAGAAATTATGGACACGCTTCTAATGCATCTTGAATTCGAAGAAAAAGAGAACGCTTCATTCGAAACGTCCTCCGAAACAGATTAAGAGGATATACTAATGGTTCAACAAAATAGTTGAGAAAAAGCCTTTCATGGCCTTGAATATGGTCGCGCTTAATGACCTTACGACCTCCAACAAAACCACGACACGAGTTTGATCCTGTCTCACTATCTAATAGTTCTTCATCCATAGCAATAGCTAATAACATTTCCAATTCATCGTCAGTATCAGAATCATTTGGAAGCATATCATAAAGAAGATTGGAAGCAATAGTGAGAGATATCAAAGAATTGATGAATGGAAAATTGGGTTGAGATTTATAATTGAAAACTGGAAACAAAAAAAATATGATTGTTACAAAATATGGTGGTTGTAAAAATTTGATCGTTGCAAAAATATGACCATTTGAAGAATATGACTGTTACAAAAATGACCATTGAAAAAATTTGATCATTACAAAAATATGACCATTTGAAAAATATGACTGCGGTACAAAATATATAAAATTTACAAAAATATAGTTGTAGCTATTAAAAAAAATTAAAAAAATAGAAGAAAAAGTATTTTAAAAGAAGATGGTTAAAGAATAATAATATTTTAAAAGAATATAGTTAAAAGTAGAGAGTTTTTGGAGTGTATGTTTAAAAAGTGGCTAGTTAAAGTAGCAAAGTGAAATTTGGAATAGCTATTTAGCTATGCTTGCTGGAGATGTTTGTAACTATTTCCCAGCCTTTATTTCCTTATTTTTCTTCCAAAAATATTTAATTATATTTTCTCGGGAAGCATATTTGAATTCGTCTCAATTATTGATGATGATGATAAAAGGTTTCTATAGACTGAAACACGTTGATTTTAATATTCACAGATTCATTAATTTTCATTAACTGTCAAATTGCTTTGTCCAAAATCCATTTTCTTTCAATTTTGAAAAATATTCCAGTATAGTTGGGTTTTAATTAAGAATTAATTAAACACAATATGGTGAAAAACACTCATAGCTCTCTCAGAGGATGTTGAAACCCTTTTTTCTGTGGAGAAAATGGTTGGTTATATAGCATGGTATTGGGAATCAAGATAGAGTACATGGAGACCAAGAATAATAGATATAGGAAGGTTTTGGCTCTTCTCTTTAGAATTTGGGTTGAGCACCCTATGGACCAAAAATATTAGTTTTGACAAAACCTAGTGTGAATGTTGTGGCAAGGCCTTTGAATGGCATGGCACCAGGGCTTCTTCCCGGCCCTGCGCGGTTTTTTTCTCTACCATTCATGCTTCATCTGAGCTAGGATGGTTGTTCATGAGCCGAGTTAGGTTAGGTTCACCACTGACTCACCACCTGAATTGATTATTCCTCTAATACAGTCAAATTTGCAAATTACCAAACTGTACAATTCTAGGATTAATTCAATTTGAAACTTTTCAAGTCATTCTTGATACATTTAGATTTTTTTATTTTATAACTCGATATCCAGTCCATTAAACCAACTAATCTAAGGGACCAATCCCACCGTCTACTAACAAAGATACATTTAGAAATTTAAGTCATTCAAATCAACAACTAGCTCACAAGCTAAGTTGAGCCAAGCCATATCTTCTTTTTTCTTCTTTTAATGGTAAGATCCCACAAATACTACATTGCAAAGAGTGCAATTTTCACCTGTTTGATGTTATAATCTTGCAATATCTTTCATAGTATAACTTTCCCTCAAACTTGCACATATTATTCCCTGAACTTCAAATCATAATAATCCAAGCAAACAAGACAAATGCTCATTAGATTAGATTCCTGCCCTGAGTTTCCTATTCACATGATGGTATCAGGTGCCGAAATCATCCTCTCTCATTGAACAAAGCCAGAGTGAGTGAGTGAGGTTTGCAACAGCGCTGCAGGAGTGAACCTAACTCAGATGATCTCATTTATCTGTTGCTCCAATACTGCATTTAAACTCTTTTGACCTACGTCAGTATCTTAAAGAATTCAGAACTCTGATAATCAAAAAGTACATCAGCAAACTTTTAGCAGAGGCAAGAAAATTTGGTCCACTCACTCTCAGCTCAGCAATCTCTTTTAAATTAGTGGTGTAAAAATCAACAGCAGTTGGTAAGCCATAATTTTGGATTAAAACTGGTTTGGATAATAAATATTAGAGAATCTTCCCTGACACAAAAATCTAGATGCTGTTTCTTCTCCAAACAGACTTCAAAAGCCCTAAACATAGAAAAACCGAGTATCGACCTAGGAAACTCATTGGAAATAGACAACCCTGGCTTCATGTTAGTTGCTTTATCGCAGTCCGTCCTAGGCCTTGGGAGACTGGGTAGCATGGAAGCTAGAGCAACTGCCTAGTTTAGAGGTAGGCCTGTGATGCTTGACCAGCGGAACCAGTGACTGGACAACATCTGCCATCAGTGGCCTGTAATCTGCTTCCGGTTGTACACACATTGCAGCAATAGCGGCCACCTGAACAACCTCCTTCATCGAGTACTGACCCTCCAGTGCTGGATCCATGATCTCTACAACTTTCTCTCTATCCGTAAGCTGGGGCAAAGCCTTTTTTGCACAAAAGGATTGGAAAATGTAAGAAGTCAAGGACAAGGAGGGAAATGAAAAAGGACTACTGAAAATGAAACAAAGAGCAGAGAAAAAACTAAAATAAAATATTATGTGGCGGGATATGATTGGTCTTCTAATCAAATAAAATAAAATGTCATGGAATCAACTAAAGAGAGAGACAAGGAACCCACCCAAGATACAAGAACACCTTCCCCTTGAGCTCTCTTCATATCAACTGGAACCCTGCCTGTGAGCAACTCCAAAAGAACAACTCCATAACTATAAACATCCGACTTTGGTGTCAGACGACCAGTTAATGCATACCTGTATAGCATATCATGTCAAATTTAAACATTAATTTTTTATTTTTTATTTTTGCAACAAACTCTGTTAACATTCGACATGGTAAATAGAGAATATACATTATTCTGTTGTTATTGGAGGTTAAGAGTTTTCATCAAATTGCTTACTCAGGAGCAACATATCCTTGGGTGCCCAACACACGGGTTGAAACATGGCCACCAGCTTTATCAGATCCAAGCTTGGCCAATCCAAAATCAGAAACTTTAGCATGAAAATTTTTGTCCAAAAGGATGTTGCTGCTCTTAAAATCTCTGTGAATTACTGGAGGACTGACATGTTCATGGAGATATTCCAGCCCTTTTGCAGCTTCCAAAGCTATTCTCAACCGGGTTTCCCAGTCCAACCTTGAAGAAATAGTGTTAGACCCTGCAGATTTGAAAAAAAAAGGGCTAATAAAAGCTCCATCATGTGGAATCTCACATGCCAATAATTACAGCTATCATGATCCACACATTAATATTAAGCAATGGCAAGTGTTATCTGCTTCCAGCGCAGTGGCACAAGTTCAAGCCAAGGAAATCGGCCTCTCCACAAAAAAAGTGGGGGGAAGGTTGCCCGTCCTATTCCCATCTCCCAGATTCTGCTGTAAGGGGGAGCCTTGTGCACTGGGTACAAGCAAGTAAGGTAATGTATAGCAACATAACTAGGGAAAAAAAATATAAACATGATTTATATACTAGTATTTTAATTTAGAAATTCTTTTCAAATTTAAAGCTCGGGTAGACACAAAGGGACCACATGATTTATATACAACTCAGTAATTGAAGTTCTGATCAGAATTAAAGAGATCAGCACAGTTTGGACGTTTTCTCACAAAATGAGGGATTGGGGAGGAAGAAGCAAATTCTACTGAGCTTTAAGCTCTTGATCAATGTTTTTCATTTTCATATTATTAAAAAAAAAAACATTGAGAGTTGCCTTTAAACTATTGGACTAATTAAGCTGGCCCAAAATGTAGTTCATATTAATACTTTGTTTTCCAACAATATTAAAAGTCCCCAACAATCCATGCCTCATCTATGATCAGGTTGTTCAGGGAGATGAGTTTTGACCAACTTTATTATACCCATATGCAATGGATACAAAGAAGATTTTCCTATTTTCCATAATCTCCATTTACAGGTGATCATTTCTCAGAAGAATGCAACTGTGATGTTTAAAAGTCATTTGATCCCATGTGAACCAGATTCTTTCCACAGGATTCTCAGAAACATTATGGATCATATCCCACTGCTGCAGGCAAACAGTTTTGAACTGTGCTATGAATATTTTCCTTCCCAACTTTATCCAAGAGTGACAAACAGTTTCCTGACTTCCCTTTGCTTATTGGGGTAATTAAGACCCCTGATATTCTACACGCCAATTCTAATAATCAATTACTTCCTTTCTTACTGTTGCATCCATTGCCCCCAAGGGCAATTGAACTTGACCTTTACACATGTTTTCCTTTTTATTCTTCTTGGTATCAACAATAGTTTTCAGAGCAACAAAGTGTATAAGCAGATCAATGTCATCTGTATTTCATACTCTCCAACTGATCTGTTCTATTCTATATTTCACATTCAGCTTTGTTAAATTCACTATCTTCCACCATTGCCTCAGTATTAGTTTGCTGATCATCAGAGTATACAGGAATATGGGCCATCAGTTCAACAATATGAGTATGTGAGTTCAAGTTCCCTGAATCCCTAGTTTCTCCTCATCAGCAGTACTTGGAACATTCACAAGCGCTCTTGCCATCATCAAACGCAACCTTCTTTTTTGCCTGTTTTGATGATCCCAGATTCATTTCATTCAGATTCTTTTGTTGCTCATATATGCCGAAATTTTTTACATTATGCACATGGCACACCCATGAGGTTTCCATGGATACTTAACTGAAATAGTCGTGCTTTCCCATTTCAGAACTGAAGCTCAATTTCTTCTGGGTAGTGAGAATCAATTGCAACTTCTAAGCAGATTTTTGCCTAAGTAGACGTTATGCATGGCTAACTCATCAGATCAAGATACAGAGGTCTCCCTACAGCACTGGCTATACAATTGAGGCCTTGTTCAGTCCAAAATTCTACAGGTATATTATAAAATTGTACATTTATTCAGGTTTTGCTTTAAGATTTTTGTGAGGCAACTTTGTCTCCTTTCCTGTACTGAAAGAAAAAGAATCCATTATCATTTGATAGTACATCTACCAGTCCAAATCTTCCCATATTGTCATAGCTTTATTGTTTACAGCATGAAAGGAAGCTTCTTATCCAGAAAGTAGCCATTGAAGCATTTCTTATCCAGAAAGTAGCCATTGAAGCATTCCTTCCATTTCTGAGTCCTCAGCACTTTCGCTTCTACACCTAACCACAACCTTAAAATGGTTCAAAGTCATGCACCTGCTGAGTACTGCCATTGATTGAACATGTCTATCCAAGCAATAGGTTTATGGCTTTGAATAGCTTCCTTACATTTTGTATTATTAATGGATATCTTCCTTTTCAATACCAGAAATAGTATTGTTTAGTTCATCTTGGATAATATCTTCCCAAGATTTTGGAGGTTCTCTAGGTTTCCAATTGTGAATTTCATTCCTCCCATTTTTGCTATTATTTCTATATTGATAGTTCAAACTCAGTGTCTGAGGAAAAATAATGTTATTGCAGAACATGACAAAGATAAATGAAAGAAAACTTGATCCACCGACTATAATGGCCATAGAATCCAAGTCCAAGCTGTTATTATTTCACTACTTAAGTGCCACATAACCATTATTCCCTCATAACAAACATCTATAGGTTCTGTTTGACTGGAAAGATTAATAGTGAGTGGACTAATAATCCTGAATATTAGCGTAGGATTGTGAATACCACACCTCTCTCAATACTGAGTATCCCACATTTTTGTGGGATTAGCATTAACAGAAAATTACAATCAAACGCTAGAATATGAGTCCAGCCAATCAAACAGTCCTGTATATCTTCTAGTTTATGTATATTCATTGTTATTGAGCTGTAACTTGCTTGATTTAATTGAATGTCTATCACGGATACTTCATTCTTAGATGCTGCCAGTTAAGTGGCATGAACACTCTGCAGGTGAACCACATCTATGCCAGACCAAACACTACTTCATTAAATGTTTATTTCTTTCTGCTAAGGTTCAAATTTAGAAAGGCACCAAAATGGAGGTGCCATCCAAATACAGACAAAAACCATGGCAGCCCAATATATCCCTACACGGACCTTACATTCCAAAACCTAAAACAAAACACACATCCATCCATGCTTCCTCAACTCTCTACATGCTTTCTTAACAATTGTGTGATATATGGATATCCCATATCTCTTCAATGTAGGAATATATCGCATTCAAGGATTTGGGCTCTGTTGGTTGTTTTTGAAAGTTGTTTTTGAAAAATTTGGGGAGAGAGTTTAGAAATTTTTTTGGTTTGGTTGTGATATTTTGGGAGGTTGTTTTTTGGAGAGATTTGGGATGATTTGATATTTTGAGAGAATTTGAGTAGATGTGTGTGAGAGAAAAAGTGATTGAGAAGGAGAGAGGAGAGAGGAGAGAGAAAAAGTGATTGATTGATGTGTAAGAAAGAGAAAGTGATTTTGGAAATTTTTTGAGAAAAACTCAAACCAAACAATTGTGTGATATATGAATATCTCATATCTCTTCAATTGTAGGAAAAATAGATTCAAGGATTATATTTTTCCACTATCTAAACAAGTATAACCCCAATACTACAAACTACTATCAATTTGTTTTAGTTAGGCCTTAGTAGTCTATGACTATTGGGTGGTCATCACCAATGTTACATAAACACTTCAAAATAAATCAAATACCCATGTCGAACACCCGGCACTCAGACAAGAGTGTGAGATATGTGACTGATACTTTCCATTTGACACTTCTCATATATTTATATTTAACACTAACACTATCTTATACGCATCATTTGTTGTGTAATTGCTATAAAACACCTTTTTGACATTGTATGTTACATACAGTACCATTTTATCTCACATAATAGATTAAAAATATAAAAATATGACTCTTTTTGCCGAGTCTGTATACCCTTAAATTTAAGATTTGCTGAATCCGACCTCTAGATACACACCTGCATCCGCACCCGAATATATGTAACATAGGTCATCACTCTATTTCTAGTGGGGTTGTATAGGGTCATCGCACTAAAACTAGTCAATAGAAGGATTAACAATTCCTAAAATACGAACTACACAACATGAACAAAAATCTACCTTTTAGCTTGTGAAGTACTCTCCAACACCGTCAAACCATCATAAGCTCCTTTTACACCCTAAAATTCATATACACACTACTCCATGATTCATACATAACAAGACACAACTGATGGATTTCAAAACTACATTTCTCTTCCATTTCAGATAGCTTTACTAATATGACAACTAATTGGGTCATAGACATGAATGTGCAATATGGATAAGTATGATTTTAAAGTTGGGGGAAAAAACCAAAAAAATATTTCCATATTTCCTCGTTTGTTTCAATTTTTCTCCCTTGATTGTGACAGATGTCTATACCACCATTTTAGAAATCCAAAATCCATGTTAATGACAATAAAGACAAAGGACATTTACAATGCCCGTCAAGTCAACCATATACACTGATAAGTTTATTGTATTCAATATCTCTTCCATTTTCCTCTTTCATATAACCACTAATTCTGTGAGTTCATTCTCCATCTCTTATCTTTAGGCTTTTGGGTGATTTGCATCCTTTCTCTTCTTGCTTCAAATGGAGTCCAATAACATTAAAAGACCACATCAAAGGCAGGTGCAATGTAAGGACCTGAATAATTTAAATATGATTTAATGTTAACAAATTGTAATGATCTATTTAATTGAGTTTATATTTAGGGAGGAAAAAAACCCGCAGAGTTTGATGTAACAAAATAAACTCTGAATTTTTAATTTTGTCTATTTAAATCCTAATCTTTTGATTTGTTTTTAGTCTAAACCATCAGCTTATTTCTTTTAAATAAAAATGACAGGTGAATAAAAAATGTCTAAACTACCCTTTTTATTGAGTTCAATAATTAAAATACCATTTTTTTCCTTCAGTTTTACTTAACGGAAATAAGCAAATGGTTTATATTGAAAACAAATTAAAAATTTAAGGTTTAAATTGAAAAATTAAAAACTCAGAGTTTATTTTGTCACAAGAGTCAAAACCTTGAGTCATTGTTTGTAATTTCCCCTTATATTTATTACGTGGGAGTAGGGGAACTTAATTTTTGTGTTTGGATCCTAAACTCAAAAAATGGAGGGACTTATGGTAGAAATTTAAATTTAGGGACATCTTGGAGATTTTACTTTTTCCACCTACCACCACTCTCACCTCTTGCTTTGAGGTACTCACATGTAGAGAATGTGGTACCCCCCCCCCCCCCCCCCCCCCCCTTTTTTTTTTTTAGCACTGAGCTGTCCGAATCAAAGCCCAACTAATCCCCAGGGATGCACAAGCCCTTGACAAGAAGTTTCCCGCAAGTCCACCACAGTTAATTTAAGGGTTTTCCCCCAGTCCAATGGTTTCAAGGAATTGTTAGCACCTAAGAGGTTTCGATCCCTAAATCTTGATGGAGCACACCCTCAAAACCTAAGGCCTTGCCACTAGGCCAACCCCTTGGGGTTGTGTGGTACACCCCCCTTTATATTTGCTATATACGTATTGAAAGAGAGATTACTTCTCTCAGACAAATCTCTCTCCCTTTTTCCTCTCTCTTCTTTTCTTCTCTTTGTCTTAAGTTAGGGTTGTGAGTGTGAGGCCTTGGGCATGTCTTGAAGGCTCGGAGAACAAGCTTGGGAGTTTTGCAACTTGTTTTGGGAATTTTAGGGGTGGTTTATGGACTCTTTTTGTCCATATTTGAGTGAATAATAGTGGATTTTGTGGCTCCATAATTGTTTAATCATTGTGTTAGTTATAGTGAATGAAATGGAAATGAGAAATTGTCATTTTGATCAATTGTGAGTAGTTGAGATGCATTAATCTTGTTTGATTAATAATGAGTTAATGGGTGGACTGTTGAGTCCAAGATGGTGTAAGCTTGATTTGGGTAATGTGGAATTTCATCTATCTTAGTAACCTTTGGTTGTGTTTCCTAATGACGAAGGGAGAAACAGTGTGAGTTAAATTGTGGAAACGGCCTCGTGCTGTATTTTATTTAGTATGAAAGTATGTGTGGGTGCAGTTGCACAACTCTTAGTAACTGTGATGTGGTTCAATTATTCTTAGTATTGAAATTATACTTGGCATAACAAGCATACATGTGTTGAGATACCGAATAGCACATTCTTCTTTTGCTCATCCCGTACATTCCAGGCATGGACTAGGGACATGATGCCTTGATTACGGAGAGAGACCTACTTTTGGACTAACGATTTTAGAACTAGGACTGATTTTGACAAATTGACGTTAAGCCCTTTTTGTTAAATGTAATGCAGTTAATCCTAGTTCTGTAAATCTAACAATTATTTTTTGGAAATTAAACCTTTCTATTGTTCACCTTTCACCATATTACCAATTTTTGAACACTTTCAACCTAAATGATGAAATAAAAAGGGATATTTCCTACTCATTAAACTCCGCCTAGATTGATTAATCTCCCGCATAATTAATCTTTTAAAAACTTGGGTCATTACATGCAAGCATATAGTTCGTCAAAACACATGATATATGCTCTACAAACAGAAATCCATTTGAATTTTTTTTGGGGTGAGGCTGTACATTAGATGGACAAATCATTAAAATGACACCACTTTGGATCAAACAAGCATAATGAATACAATAAATTAGAAAGACATTGAACAGTAGCCATGAACTCGTAAACCAATGGCATCCACTTACCATTGATGGGATACAAATGTTCCTGCAGACCACCATTAGCCATGAACTCGTAAACCAACAATTTATGATTACTGTCTGAACAGTAGCCAACTAATGCCAGTAGGTATGGAGAATGTAGCCGGCTTAGTAATTCCACCTGTTAGCCATCCAGTTACCGTTCAGAGCACCGTAACCCCAATTTTTTTATTTTTTTTATTTTATAAATAAAAGGGAAAATATTCCTATACATTTCACATGAAGCAAAGAAATAGAAATTTTTTAGAAAGCAAACCTCTACTTTGAATTCCTCCTCCCCCTGCTTTCCTGCCCTATCCATCAACTTAACTGCAACCTTCCTACCATCTTGAAGCACTCCTCGGTAGACTAACCCAAACCCACCATGTCCAATCACATTAGATTTCCCAAAACCGCCAGTAGCCGAATGTAGCTGCTTGAAGGTGAATACCTGAAGTCCTTTCTCACTGGCAACTTCAATATTTGAAAAGCTGCTACCTCTTTCCACATGTTCAACCCCTTCAAACAAAATGAAAATAATTTTTAAAATAAAAATAAAAATCAACTAATTCTCTGTTTTGCAGCCACCAACAACAAGGAAATACAAGAAAGTAAAAGATATATAATCCAAAGTATTCGTCAAATGGACCTGAAAAGGCAAAATTGCATTCATTTGTGCACATACGAAAGATTAGTCTTTTTTCTTTATTGTTAAATTTTATTTTGTATTTCTTTTCCCCAGTTTTCTTTGCAAGCAAAAGATGGGAACGAGAAAAAAATGCAAAACAAATTTTAAAGATAGAAAATCAGCGCAAGATTTTGGCTCTGCTTGTTGAGAAAATACAAAATACTAGAAGAAATAATTAAAATGTAAAATATATATATATATATATATATCTTCTAAATAGGATTTGAGAAAACAACAGTGGCGGTTCAAGGGTGAGGCAACTTAGGTGCTTGCCTAGGGCCCCAAGTAGAGAACGGCCACATTTATCATATTTTTATTATACATTGTCCAGAGATAGAAACCATCAATCAAAATATCTCTCAGAAATTGAAAAAAATAAAAAATATATTTTTTTAAATCAATAAAAAATGAGACTTCAGGCTTGGTTTGGTTTGATAAATAAAAAATGGGCAAATCTTAAATTATCATAACAAAATATCACTCCATTAGTCATCTCAGTATATCAATCAAATCAACAAGAAAGCAAAACCACTTCTCTCATTGGATTAAAAAGGGCCTCAATATTACATTTATACATCTTTCAAAAATCTCTCGGTCAGGACAAAAAAGATATTTTTATACCTCTTATGACATGTTCTCTTTTTCTACACTATAAGAAAAATTAAAACACCCAACATTATTCTCTATCACTTTCTTGTTTATATTAAAAGACAAACCTATTATAACTCGCTTTCCCTTAATCTTTTTATGTTATACTCTCAAAAAATGGCCTCTCTCATTAAATAAAAGTTCATCATAACTATGGTTGTTAAACAAATCGAGCTACTTGAACTCTACTCATGTTTGACTCGTTAAAAGCTCATTCAAGTTTGGCTTGTTATGTAAACAAGCCAAGCTTCAACACAATTTTAAACTTGTTAAGTTTTTAAACCAAACTTGAACAACCTACTACTTGGCTCAATAAATGCACTATACACAATAAAGCTACTCAACTCGTGTTTGACTCGTTAAAAGCTAGTTTGAGATCCACTCATTATGTAAACAAGCCATGCTTGGACATATTTTGACGCTCATTAAGTTTTCAAACTAAGCTTGCACAACCTACTACTCAGCTCGTTTAGAGTCCTAATCATAATTTATTCTCTCTTTCATAGTCAATCAAAAGCAAAGTGCTATTATACAACTCCTTTTCTTTATCTCTCATCAATTAATGCAAAAGGAATATGTAGTTTTCTCTGTCATTATATATATCAAAAAAAATAAATGTGTACCAGAGTCAACCCGGACAGCAAGCTGACAAAGCAACCACTTTGGGCCAAAAAATAGATCCCCCATCTAGGAATAATATTTATATTAAGGATGAACATAATTCTTTTCAAGACTTTAATGAAATGAAGGGCCCCAATTATTTTGATTTAACATATTAAAACCCATCTATGTCCAGCCCTCAATACCAAACCCAAAAACAATACTGTTTTTTATTAATGGAGGACCCCAATAATTTTAATTTTAACTTATCAAAACCCAACTAAGTCCAACGCTTAATACTAAACCCAAAAACAATTTTGTTTTCATTAATGGAGGGCCCAAAGAAATTGATTTCACTTTACCAAACTTTTTCCCAACCCAATTCACCATTCTGAGATTGAACTTTCTTAGATTTTCTCTAGATGCCTATAGATTTTGTATCATTCCAGGTTCTACTTCAATTGTTTGTTAACTATACCTAAAAATTAAAATATCTAGAATTTGAATTGATCGTTGATTCATTGCTTGTTGGATTGTGGATTTAGTCAAACTTCCTAAATAGTACTTATCTACACATTTAAAAATAAATAAAAGAAGAAAGAAAGAAAGAAGAAGAATTAATTCAATCTTAAATAGGAGCACTTAGTTCAATTTTGTAATTAGATTTGCAAGAACAAAAATGTTGAAGTGATACTATAGTGTAGCTAATTCAATTTCAATTTTTTTTTATTTGGTGTTTTTTTTTCTCTGGTGTAAATGGTTAAAATATAAAGCAACAAGACTATATTTTGTTTTTAACATTGTTGTAATAATTTCTTCTTAAAGCTAATTTTATCTTTTCGAGTACTATGTGAAATGTAGAGTTCCATTTATGGGTTTGCTTACACCGTGTTTGGTTGAGGGATTTGAGGAGGGAATTGGAAAGGGAAAGGGAAAAGTTAGTTGAAATGTAAATAAAATATAAATACATTTCACCTAATTTCACACACCTTTTCCCTTTCCTTTTCCAAATCCTCTCCAAATCCTCCAACCAAACACAGCATTAGGGCCCCTGAAAGCTCATGGACGGCCCTAATTTGTACCCTTCTCTCTTATCATGCAGATTAAAACAAAATAACTCATCTCATTATACCCTCTCCCCTCTTCTTCTTTTGTCCTGAAAAATCTCATATTGTTACAAGAAGCAATCTCTTTCCTCACTTAGTTATCAAAATTATAACAGGTACATTTATTGAAATTAGACTAAATGAAATTGTTTTACTTGTGAATGTTAAAAATTTTAAATAAAAAATATAATGTCAAAAACAAAAATTACGTTGTAAAATTATAAAGGGCCCCAAATATGCTTGAGCCACCTCTGGAAAACAATAGCCAATAACCTTCACTGAAAAGAAGCCAGAAAACTACAGTATTAAAAACTTAGGTAAACTAGCAATAGGTCTCATCAAGTCTTACTGAAAAAAAAGACTTGGTAAAATTGTCGCTAAAAATAATTTTTTTGCAACAATTTTTTATATATGTCGCTAAAAATTAATAATTAATAATTAGTGACTTTTTTTGTCATAACTTTTATAAATTATCTCTAAACCTTCATCTAAAACTTACATTTAATGACTTTTTTTATGACAAATTTTGCCGACAGGACCTATTAGACAATAAGTACGCTTTCGTTCCAATTCCTAATTTTCTTAGAGAAAAATAATAAATAAATAAAAAGCTTTGAGAAATTTTAACTGATTTAGGGTTTCGACAAGCCAAAACATTTGTGAAATCAGAGACTTAAACGTTTCAACCCCCCCAACCAAAAAAAAAAAAAAAAGAGGGAAAAATAGAGTAAATGGCATTGTTGATGGGATGGGAAGCATACTTTTGGGATTGTTTTGACGCTTGGAGAGTTTGTTGGAAATGTAACAGTAGTAGATGCAGGCCACCAAAAGAGAAGCAACAGCTACAGACGCCAGAGATACGATCACCACCATAGCTATGCGCTCCTTCATTTTGTACTCTTCTTCTCCTGCTTCCATTATTGCTTCTTCTAATTACCCCTCTCTCTCTCTCTCTCTCTCTCTCTCTCTCTAACCCTAGGGTAGAATAGAAAATCGTATGCTATCCTCTCCTGAAGCCAGCCACTGAGCAGACAAAGATATATTCCAAGCGCTCCGTAACTGGAAAAAGGTTCAACGGCTCACCACACACTCACTCTCTCTCACTCCCACTCCCACTCCCACTCCATCCAGTACTGTCTCTGCTGACTGTTGTCTTCTTGTCGTAGCGCGGAGAATAAGGAAAAAAAAAAGAGTTGAATAGAACGGAAGGAACCGCGCCTACTTTAGTTTTTAATTTAATTTTTTAATTTTTTTTTTTTTTGGAATAAATTACAGATTTAATCCAATTACTATCCACTCGTTGACATTTTAAAAATTATATTTTTATCCCTTTAATTAATAATCTCATTTCATAAATATTCTGCTAATATAAAAGGTAACAATTTTTAGTAAAAAAATAAAGAAAATTACATTAAAAAAAAAGTAAAGAAAAGGGAAAAAAAATGTAAAGCAAAGTAAAAAAAGTAAAATAGAAAATGCATGAATTCAATGTCTTTATTCTATCTAAATAATTACAATGATAAGTGGTTAGTGTAATTTTCCAAACGTCATGAGTGATATGTATTAAACCTAAACTTCAAGGGTGTAAGTGTAATTTATCCTTTTTTTTTAGAGTAAGAAATTAGTGGGTTTGATTTCAAATTTCTAAAACTTAAATTTTTATTTTTTATTTTTTATAAATGTTTTTAAAATTTTAAGTAATGTTTTTATTTTTTTAGATGCACATTACTCAAATGTATCTAAATAGTAAAATATTTTTAAAAATTAATAATTACATAAAAATATGAAAAATATATAGAATTTTTATTTTTTATATCTTTGGTATTTAGTGAATTTAAAAAAAAATCACAAATATTATATTTTTAAGTGTATTTATGTTAAGTGTGTCTAAATTTTATTTTTTAAAAAAAAAAGCTTAAAAAATTTTAAAAAATTCATTGAAAATAAAAAAAAATACGAAAAATAAAAAGTAGAATTTTTCTGAAAAGTGTTTTCTAAAAACCAAAACCAAAACCAAATTAGGCCACATCACTCCACTGAAAAACCTGCGGCTCAAATTGCTTCAGCTAAAAAAGAAAAACAAATTTGTTTCAGGAAAATTTCAATTTTCCCTCCGATATCTTCCCATCAACATTTTCCCTTCCTCTTGAGTTCTTCACCAGCAACGACTCCATCTCACAAACTCGACAACGAAGCTCTATAGCGACAAACATCGACAGCGACCTCCCTTCCCAAAACCCACTCTCGCAAAGTGGCCCAAAATCCTTCTCGGTCTCTCCCTCTCTCCCTCTCTCTCAGCACATCATCGTCACTCTTACCGCCTTCAAGATTTACACAACAAACTAGAGCCCTAATAAGAAAACCCTTCTATGTGCTTTCTTCACCAATTTGAAACCTAAGGTAATATATATATTTTTTTTTTCAGTGGTGTATTTGATACTAATTGAGGCTTTTTATTGTTCATTGTTGTTTGATTTCTTTTTCTTTTTCTTTTTTTCACTGTTGTTTGGTTTTTTTCACTGATTTTTTCAAATTGTCCTTTGTCAAATTGTTGATTTTGTTTCTGATTTTATTTGTAAAATTGTTCCTATTTGATTTCTTAAAGGTTAAATTAATGTATGAAGAGCATACATGAAATTAATGTATAAGACATCCAGCTAAAGGCTATTCTTTGATTTTTTAAAGGTTAATGTATAAGACCATCATCTCCAACGGTTCACCAAAGTTGACATCAAATTTAAATTTTGATGAAAAAGTTACTGTTTGGTGCTCCAACAGTTACACCAAATCGATATCAAATTGAGATTTCACCAAACAATTCATCAAATTGAGGACAACATACAGATTTCACCAAATCACTGTGTGTGACCGTTGAAGGGAGGAATCGTTCAACCAGCCGGTTGCTCGCCCGATTGACCAACCGGTCGACCGGTGCACCATTTAAGCCACTGGTTCGTTTGAATCCTCAGCTGGTCAGTTTGAACTGGTTAGTTTGAACTGTCGGCCGGTTGACCAACCGGTCGACCGGGTTGGGCAATTCGGCTACAGTGCACAACTAGCAAGAATAGGTTTGAACTGGTTGGTTTCAACTTGTTTGAGCTGGTTTATTTGAACATAGGTTAATTTGTGGATTATGAATAATTTGAAGGATGATATAAATTTAAATTCCCTATATATTTGACATACATATTTCACAACTAGCCGTTACAATAATTTACCGTTAGATGGACAGAGTATTTTGAAAATTTACCATTGATAATGTGCTCTATAAAATAGATCTGATTTCTATATCAAGCTGACAGAGTATTTCATTTTCAGAATAGCATTTACATGTTGTGAATTTTTTTTCTTTTGTGTCATTAGATATTTGTTTCCCTTAAAATTTTAATTAATATTATCTAATTAAATTATCTGATTCTGAGTTTGAGCTTTATATCATTACAATATTTTTCAGTAAGTGTATTGTATTTTTTCTAAACTATGGAAGTGAGAGGGGAGATTTGCGCGTTAGTACGGCCGAGCTACGATAACGCCGATCATGACGAACTGCAAGCCGCCGAGCTGAAGACCGGCCAGACACGAACCAATGCCTGGCCGAGCTATAACGCGGCCGAGCGCGTAGCAGTGTCTGATGACCAAGCTAAGAGCAACTCGGGCTAGACCGTGGGTGCGGTTAGGGCCGGCACGCTTCTGACCGACCGACCGAGGTAAGTGGTCTTCGTGTGACCGAGTATAGAGATAGGACGGGTGGAGGCTGGCATACGTCACAACCGGTTAGCTTAATGAACCGGTCAATATCAACTCAGCCATGAGTATCGCCCTTTGGCCCCTTCGCAAGGGGTAGTCCGGCGGTGCATAGCTCGGTTGTGTGCATGTGATGGCAACTCTCTACAAGTGATAGGCCGGTCGTGGTATTCTGGTCGAGTGTGCCACCTGGACCAATGGCGTAAGGGATAGAGGAAACCTGCTCCAAGCATGCGCCAATACCGTTGGACAGTTCTGCGTGTACTGGTGGGAGGACTAAGCCTTTACACACGTAAGGTGGTGAGAGGCGAGCACTGCCACCTGTCCTAGGAAGGACAGCAGAGGTAGTGCGCGCATAATCTTGAGGCTGCATGGCCAGACTTGAAATAGGGAGGAGGACGAACGTTAGAAGTATGCAATTTCTTTCCCAAAAAGAATACTCTCTCTGCTAACAGTCTTCTTCTTCTTCAAGTGGACTGACTCGATCGTCAGAGGGTCTATCCGGCACACCACCGCCGGTCAGCTCACCGTTTTTGTGTTGCCAGGTAGACGCCGTCAAGAGAAGCTTGGAGTACAAGGAGTACGGAAAGCAGAGGATATTTTGCCCCCGTACAATTGGCGCCGTCTGTGGGAACTCTTTGATACTTAACCCTTGTTCTTTGAGCTTCTTCGACCAATTCCATGGCCAACAACGGCGAAGCCCCACTGTCCGTCGTCGATGGCTGTCATGACCCGAACCCGCCCCTATGGGTTAAGGACATAACCGGCCAGCAATCTTGAGATTACCTACGGCCTCAGACCAAAACAGACATAACTTGTCAGAGTAAAGGGGCCAAATGGAAGCAATAAATAAAAACTTTGTCCATGGAGCCGTGCTTATATGCACATTAACAGACCATATTCAGTTACGTTAATAACCCACATCAAAAGTACAGTTCCACAAAATTCATTATAGACAGGATCATCCAAAACGAGTCAACCTATGACAGACTATTTACAGATATACACAAAGTCCTTGCCGGCAAGACAACTATAATTACATAGCAAAAAGGCAAGGGTAGGTCTCAAGAGTGAGACGCAAGGCTGACTTTCGCAAAACTCGGATGTTTTCCTAGCAGACTTCACTGGGGCTGGGTTTGGACTTCCCTTGGCTCACCTACAAACACATGAATGAGCGTGAGCGATAGCCCAGTGAATAATATCAAGTATGACAGTTACATAACAATATGTAGAACAACATACTCCGAACGGCCTTGGGCCCAATTCATACTTCTAATTAGCAAATATAAACGACCATACGAAATGCAAATCAAGTAACTGTAGTTCCAATATTCTGGCCTTTGGCCCATTTGGGTTTCCATTCATGGCAAAACGGCCTTCGGCCCATTCACTTCTGTCAAAACGGCCTTTGGCCCACTCGTTCATGTCAAAACGGCGTTCGGCCTACTCGTTCATGTCAAAAAGGCCTTCGGCCCACTCACATGTGGCAAAACGACCTTTGGTCCATTCATTTACATTAGGACGACCTTTGGTCCATTCATTTATATCAGGACGACCTTTGGTCCATTCATTCACATCAAAACGACCTTCGGTCCATTCATTTATGTCAAAACGACCTTTGGTCCATTCATTTATTCCTGTCAGACTTTTGTCCACAATCCCAATTAACAACTCATAACGTTTATAAGGGAATAACAATTGGACATTGACAAGCTTTCGAATATTGATATTACTCACAGTGATCAGCTTGTGGATTCGCCCTGGAGCTTGACCCTACACATTCCATGCACACAAAAGGGTCATTAACCATTCAATCCGTCCCTTAATTCACATATTCCTCTTTAGGCTTTATTCTTATCTCATTAACTCATTTATAATGTTTAACACACGCCGAAGAGTGATTACAAGTGAAAGAGAACGGAAAACGAAACACAGAACGCATGAACAGAATTCCAGAAATTAGGGTCCCTGCTCGAGCGTCAATTTAGCCGCTCGAGCGGACCCTCAAGGCCTGCAAAAGTACTGGTTGCATGAAAAATGCGCTCAAGCGTTAAATAGGGCGCTCGAGCGGACGGCCTGACAAAATAGCTCCTACGCTCGAGCGTCAACTTCCCCGCTCGAGCGGGAGCCATGTCTGCAAAAACTGCTGGGAGCTCGATTTCTCCGCTCGAGCGTCACTTCACCCGCTCGAGCGGACATCGAAAATCTGGGTTTTCCAGATTGAGTTCTTGAGCTTCATCTTGACATTCAAAGGCTCTAAATGCGTGATTTCAGTCCAAACTTCACATAATCATGTATTAACATGATGCAAACATAGAATTACAACATATTGAAGCTCAATTTCATAATTTATTTACATGCATGGCTCAAAATATGTCAAACTCAATCATCAACATAACAAATTCCTGC